AAATTAACATAAGACATTGCAGTATCTAATTTTTTAGGATTTAGGATTTATGTCTTCATTAGCTTATTTTTTTTTTAAATATTGTTAAAATATTTGTTAGAATAATTTACATTTATAAATATCGTTAAAATACATAACTAAAATAATATATATATATATATAAGGAAAAAAAAAACGAGAAGAGAATAAAGTGCAAATAAAATTTTCTCAACCGAAACACCCAAATAGTCACATTGGAATGCTTAACATATGAATTGATATCCGAGTCTGAGTTTTAGAATTTATTATGAAAGTCACTTTACAAAATTACTACTGATCGTGTATATAAGAATTTTTTTTACTTTATTTTTCTTTTTTATAAGACTATTTTATAATTACTAAAATTTAATGAAATAAACTCGTTTTTGGTCATGATTGAAAAGGTGAATAAATATAATTTTGATTATGTATATAAGAACTTTTTTACTTTATTCCTTCTTTTTTTATAAGATTATTTTATAATTACTAAAAATTAATGACAAGCTCGTTTTTGGTCATGATTGAAAAGATGAATAAATATAATCTTCAAATATTAATTAATTAGATAAAAAAAATTAAATGAAAGGAGATAAATGATTAATTTGAAAATTTTAAAGATAGTTTAAAAAAAAATTAAATTGTTGACAAAATTTAATGTCACAAAATAAATGAACTAATTTTTTTAAAATGAGTAAATTAATCAAAATAATCTTATATAGGGTCCGAGATGGTATAAAGGAAACAAAAAGTTGAATATACCTACATATAGTTATATCTAGTTTAAATGGAAAGAAAAGTCTTAGAAGCATTTATGTATAATAACATGTTTGGATAAAAGTTAAGAAGTATTTAAAATAAAATTATTTATTTTCAGTAAAGAAACTCTTAAAAATATTTTTAAGTTCATATCCAAACTGATTCTAAGTGAAAGACTATGGCTCAGGCTTTTGGTTTAGCAGTTGGCAACCTGAACCTCAGACGGAATTAGAATAAAGTTATGGCTAATGGAAAGAGAAGCCATTGCAAGATCTGGCGTTGTAGAACGAAAGAATATGATGTCCTAGATCATCAAAACGCCATGCCATTGCAGGATGACACATGCATATTTGTTTAGAATTTGACATATATGATCACCCCAGTAATGAAATGCTGAAATTCACATTTATTCAGTAGTAAAATGTGCACCACTCTAAATGTAAACAAAAAAGGGGAAACTTTATATAAGAAAAATCTAATTAATTAACACATTACAAAGGGACCAATGACCTAAACACAATCCCATCATAACAAGTACCAAGCATATCCGTAAACCAAAACAACACAACAGCAATTTCCATTGTAGTAAGCCCTTTCCCTCCTATAATCACGAGGCCTTTTGAAAGGGCTATTATGAATTAAAACACATAACAAAAGTTAATCATCTATCAATCAAGGCCCTAAAAGGGTGCACCATTGCATGAGTAAATACACCATTTCTTAAAGGCAAAGTTTGTGATAAACCTGGCCAAAACTAGAGGAGGAGGAAAATCAAAGTTTTCCCTTGTCTTCCTCCTTCATCTTCTTCTGCCACCTTCTCTTCTTGTAATCCAGCAACATCTGGGGCATCTTCTCCATCAACTTCACAGTGTTTTCACGCTTCTCGGCGGCAATCCTATCACATTTGTGGCCCTTCCTCTTGGTCTTCATCTCCTTCCTTTGAGGATCATAGGGCCAATCTTCCCCAGCAAGGAGGACTTCCTTGCGGAGTCTAGCACGACGCCTAGCACTGATACTGAGTGGCTTCCAGGCCCCTAGCTCCCAGTATCCCCACACACCCTTGGCAAGTTCATCCTTATATTTCACCAACTTCTCACGCCAAGGATATTGATATTCTGCTACTGCCTTTGCCACACACCCAACACCCTTCCCCGCCATAACATAACAACCACTTTTTCTCTACACAACACAACAACTACTCAATCAGGCAAATTCACAAACACCTCTTATGCTATAAACATTTTTTTCCCAACCGAATTAACGTTACAAACTTCAATTATCACATTTGTTCTCTGAATGAATGACATGTTAGAAAGGCAATTATGGTGAATAACATAAAGCGCAGAGAATTCAAGTTAGGTCACAATTTCAAAGAATCAATGCATATGAGATCCAGTTCATAACCTAGAAAACCGGAGGAGACAAAAACAGTATGGAATAATGGAAGTAAAATAGGGGTTGCACTTACAGTTAGTGGGATTACGAGGCTCGCTTGAAAAAATCACCTAAAAAACAAAAGGTTCAATAAATTAGAAGAGAAATTCAGAGAGACTAATATCAGCGTCAGCCGTCAGCGAAACCAGAAGAATCCTAGCTCGCTTAGCATTCAGCCGTGTTGCAAGGTGGGCTCAGCTTTAGACCCAAAACTAGTTAAGCCCATAGTACAAGGTAGGCCCACCAATTAGCCCTTTAATTTTATTTTGCTTAAAAATAAAAAATCTACTCTAACAAGATTAGCGTAAGGCGCATGGGGCAACTAAAAAGATGAGCTTGATAGAGGTGTAACAAACCACAACCACTACCTAGCGTGGTGCTAAAATGGATAACAAGAGACATTCATTCCATGCATAAAAAAATAAAGTAATTTCTAAAATTAAAATGGCAAAACAGAAATGATAACATACCCGTGGCCCGTGGGCCGTTGACACTGTCACGAGTGCTACGGCTATGGTGAAGACGGAATGGGCTGAGCCTGTGTGGGTTTGGATTTATTTATTATGTACGGGAACGCGTGAGCCACCCGGATTTTTCCCATAACTAAAATTTGTAAATTTGTTTGAGTAACCCGACTCCAATATCTGGTGGGTTCAGTTAATCTACATGTTCTGACATATTTCCGGCTCTAGATGGACTGATCATTCAACTTTCAGACAAAAGTTTTTTTATTAAACACCAACGCACACTTTGACCAAATGAAGATTCTTCTTTCTATTTTTTTTCCTCTTTACACCTCTTATCTTAAATTTTGAATATTTCAAATTACTTTTATATTCCAGAAATTATTTTTTCTAAACAATTTTTTTTTAAAGTATATAAAAAAAATTGAAGAGAAAATAAAGGTGCAGATAAAATTTTCTCAACCAAAACACTCAAATAGTCACAAGGGAATAGTTACCATGTTGAAATGAAAAGAAAAGTCTTGCAAGCGTTTGTGTAATAGTGAGAGGTTATGGAGCAAGCTTTTGGGTTTAGCAGTTGGCAACCTGAACCTCAACGTGATGGATAATGGAAAGTGAAGCCATGGCATGATCCGTCGTTGTAGACTGAAAGTAAGAGTATTATGTCCTAGATTATCAACACGCCATGACATTGCAGGATGACACATGCATATTTGTTTCGAATTTGACATATACGATTACCTCTAATGAAATGGTGAAATTCACATTTATTCAGTAGTAAAAATGTACACCACTCTAAATGTAAATTTTTTTTTAAAAAAAAAGGGAAACTTCAAAAGAAAAATCTAATTAACACATTACAAATGGGCCAAAGGCCTAAACACAATTCCATCATAAAAGAAATATCCAGTATTTACAATTTAATGAACAAACTACAGGTCTTTGAAGTAAATAGTCGTTTGATTTTGATAAAAACTCTTCACTCTTCAACATTATTGATTGGCAACAAAGGTTGATGCTAGATCCCTATTCAGCTGAACAACTGGTTTCCCTTAGCATGTGCGAAGGCGGGAGAAAAGCATCATGTCTGCTACAAACTCACTGAGCTCTAGCTAGGGAGACTGAAATATAGTTTGGTCGAATACGCCTCCACAATCCTGCAAACGTTAGGGCAACAAAAAGTTTAAGGAAAAACAAAAAAAGCCGGGCAAAGCACGAGTTTGAGCAGAAAAAGTAAACCATTTAACTCTTCTAAAGGAAAAAAGTAAGGGTTCATCCACATTTGATTCAAGGTGGGTAAAGTTTATGAGATACTTCAATTTAAATCTAAGAGTGGAACGTCCTTATTTTCTCATTTCACATGCTTATTCATTTCAAAGGAGTCAAATCCAAAATGTAAAGTAACAACACTTTGTTAATCAATTTTTTAAGCTATTAGCCTATAACATTACCCACTTACAAGGAAATGGAAACACCCAATACTAGAAACAAAATCTCAGAGTTGACCATGACTTCTGCTCATAGAGTGGTCACGAAAGAGTTTTTGACCGGGTGCTTGCTGGTCATTCTGCTGCAAGGGATTCAAGCCAGAGAACATGAACACAAAAAGAATTCAGTGCAAGGTATAAACATTTATGGATTATAAAATTACAGAAACAAACATGAAGAAATATATTATAAACACAAACGTTCAATTTCATAGCAGTTTCTATGTCAAACAATTTTGAAAATATCACCAAGTTCTACTAGATGTTAGTTTAGAAGGGAAAATAACAATAAATAGTCCAAAAAACACCTATTGTGATTTTAAAAGCAAAGATTCATATTGAAGGACCGGGGATGCTCTTCAGTTTCCTAAGCCAGCCCAAAGGACATCTTTCAAACTATTCATTGTCTTTGAAAGGAAAAAATTAGAAGAACCAGCGGTAATACTAGAGTAAAAAGGAACTTCGACCTACACATACATTGCTAAAGAACTAATAATAATGTGTTACAAGAACTTTACAAGACAACGAGTTAAAATGCTGCAACACTACATGATATGCAGTTCAAGTACTGGACTTCATGTTGGCCTACGGATCAGCACATAATCAATTCCCAACTTATCAATACTTGCAAGCTTCAATATTTTAACAGGACTAGTACATGAATTATAAATCCTTCATTTATTAGTCTATTAAAATCTTAAATTATATAGCTAGTTTTGTCATGTCCAGTGTTATAGTAAAAAAAAATGTAGCTAAAGCCTAGTCACATTGTATCTGGTAGAACAATAATTGATAAAAGTAATAAAACACAATATTATTGAATACCGAAACCACACACAATACAGCAATTGGCTTGCTGTCCCAGAGACAAAAATCTCCTAGAGAGTTCTCTGCCAACAAACTACAGATAACTTCCCTTGATTACACATCCAACTATCAGATATATATTTCCAATACATAACTACCAGCAGTTATTTTCTACAAATAACTGTCATCTTGGAGTTTCTAATACAGATCTGATTTCTAAAGCAGTTATTTTCTACAAATAGCTCACCCTAACTCAGTTCCTATCAGTATCAATAAAAAGCAGTTTGTACAAGAAACTTAAACTTCCAACAGAAATTACAGAATAGAATGAAATAAATTCATGGCAGTCTGCTCCTGTCATGCATCAAGTGTTATTGCTCAGCTAAACAAAATTACAATCAGGAAAATGGAGGAAAAAAACTGATGAGTGAGACGGACAGACCTTGTACAAGGATGCAGCAGACTCGGATGGTACTGTTGGAATTGCATTGTGCCCCAGTGATCGTAACGCATCCAAAGCATCTAAAGTCATCTGCCAACCGCATAGGGCAATTGCATCACTACTGGTGCTTGGAACAGAACTAGTGCAGCCAGCAGCAGCAACATTGCCATTCACCCAAGGGCAACATTGGTTATGATAGACAATAGGATCAAATTCTACAGCTTCATAATTACTCTCTCCTTTTGGAGGGCCTAAAGAATTGCAAAATGTCAGTGACTATGCTACAAACATACGTACAAGTAAACCCAATGAAGTGTAACTTCACCGTAGAATGAATTAGAATATCCATTTTCAATATTATGCTTGGTGAAAGTCTGCTAAGGACAACAGGAATATATATCTACTCCTATATTATAAATTAGAATACATAATTAATAGTGAGACTCACTCTCTCAATTAGACACTCCCAAATCCCAACATTCTCTTCTCTCCATTTAAGGTACATGTTTCTCAACAACTCAGACTACCCTTCTTTTATCTTCATTTGTATACTTAATCTTCTTAATAGTCTATCTCTTTCGATCTATCCTCTCTTGTCTCTGAATTTTAATGGTTTTTTACATTCAAATTTGATTTTATTCTCCTTTATTCTAGAAGACTTAGTTAAGATCAAGATCAGGTTATTCAAATTCGATTTGATCTTATTCACTTTACTCTCCCTATCATATCTTCATATTTATTTTGTAACCAGTGGTTAGAAACTCTCATAGCCATCTCTGCCTATATAAACTCTTCTAATTCTAATCAATGTACAAAAATAAAGATCAGTTTCTTCTTCTAAAATTACAAAGGTCAATTAAAAAATAATTTAAAAGTGAAGATTTTTACAACCTCTATGCAGTTTATTATTCCTG